CTCAGCAAGGGCAAGAATCACACTGAGAAGTGCATATTATTTTCTTGATTTTAGATATGATATTTTTTTATTGCTCAAAATGCAAATGTGAGTATTATTGACTTTAAAAAAGTATTTACTGCATGCAAATCTATAAAAACAAGTGCATGAGCTAACTCTTGGCATGTCTGTCCTTAAAGGTTGATGACCCCTGTCGATCCTTTCTTTTAAGATGGCTGCGGCTCCTTAACAAAAGTTTATGTATAAGCAAGCTGATGTGTGTACATCCCGGTATGACAGGACAGCAAATGCAAGTTTACTCAGCTTTAGAAAGCAATCATAAATTGCCCTGCGTTGTGTTCGTATTTTAAAGTCTTCACAGAAACCTTTAGCAGTTCATACTATTTGAAAATTACAGTTCAAGAAACATTCTGATCATTACAAATTGAGTTTATTGATAACAAACAAATTGAAATAGCCAAAAATGAACTAAAAGCCAAGGCCAAGTATCTGCAGACCTTATGCAATGTACGTCTAAATTGCAGAAAGCAACAACAGGGTACAGGAGGAAGTAAACGTTTACGCAGCGACCTTGATCTTCAACAGAAATGAAACGTCTTTAACTCAATGAAACATTATAATAATAACAATAACAACAGCAACTCTATAACTTAAACAACATATATTTATCACACAATGATTTTTTTTTTAAATGCCATTTTTACTCCTAATTTCTCTTAAATGCCACATCATACCTGCCAGCTGAGACTGGTACCAGCTAGGAAACACACTGAAATAACAGACCTATTTAATCATTCATAACTCAGCTGGAACAAAACCTTGGGCACCCATAGCTTTCCAAAACAACAGAAAATTTAGTATAGAAGTCTGTCACTTCGTAGGAGGGTGGGGGTGACTTCCAGGACTACAGCCATTTAACCACTGCAGGTGGCCTTAAACTACTTTCCTCTACAAAGAGGATTCCATGTAACAGTGTGACATAAAAGCAACCTGATAAGGCCTGAAATCTGAAACAGTAAATAATTTATGTTACTTCAATTTTAGTGCATGCAATAAGAGTTTTGAGTGTAATTATAAAATGCAGATATGGTGCTAAAATTCCACAGAACAAAGCATTCACAGCTGAAAATCTGAACAACCCCATCTAAAAGACTACAGCAGACTGAAATGTTAATACTAATTCAGACTAACAAAGACCTACTTTGTAGATTTAAGTTTAATTTGATGCAAATGAACACAATGTGAGGACGACCGAAACAATGCTTAAGACAAATGTAAAAGAAAATGTATGCAAGCTGGGATAGTGAAAGACCATTATTTGTCCATTTATCTATTGGTTCTGGTTTTGAGTGACTGTTTTTCATCATAACACCTCTTTAAAACTACCAAGAGCTGGATCGATTTGATGATTAAAAACAGAAACATTCATCATCGTGTAACAAGAGTGGTTTGCCTTACATTCATATCTTGGCTGCACTGCTTATTTCATCTGTATTTGCAAGAGAAACACTGCTGACAGGAGACATTGATCACTCGTTCCCAAATCTGTTTGGTCTTATTTTTCCAACTTTCTAGCTATACTCATCTAGCCTCCAGTGTGTCTTTGAGCTTTTGATTTTCACCACATGTACAAGAGAACTGATGACAAACATTTCAACATTAAAGTTCTATATGCAGGCACACTGTCTGAAACACACAACCACAGCTTTTCAGATTCAAACAATTGATATAATAAAAGTATCTCAAACACAGGTAAAACTGTATACTTCTGCACTCATTGGGACACAGGTTGCTTAAATAATAGTAATTTCATTTTAAAGGTAGGTGTGTTGGTACTTCAATACAATGAAAAGCAGAAGCTACAGTCAATTCATAAAGCCAGGTTGTACTGAATAATGTGGGCTTTAGATCCCATGACTCAGTGATAGAAAACTGACACTGAGGTTTATAGGGAGTTCAGAGTAACAGAGGAAAATATTCTAGGCAAACAGCAGTACTGAAACATGATGCCTGTGCAATCAACAGACAAAAACAAAATCAAATCCTGGACACATTCATCCCCCAGTGTCCAAAGTCATAGTTAAAGATTTTGAAAATGCAGAAAAACAATACGTCAGCTCTGTCTGGTGTTGTTTCACATTGCCCTCTGACAACACTTAAGATTACCAGTAGTGTTACAAAGACATACTTATCAGTATTACATAAAACTTTAAACAGAAAGTTTAAAATATTAACAAAAACAGTCTGTTAAAATATTAAAGTCATACTTCAGGCTCTGTTGCAAAACATAAGGAAGTTAAGACATCAACTTGTTTTTTTTTCTGAAATTATCTGAAAGATTAAGTATGTTGTCTGAAGATGTAAAAAGACTGAACTTCTATGAGCACCAAAGTTGACAAATTTGGGAAAATAATTTTTTAAAGTATCATTATGTGGATTTTTAAAAGTACAAAAAAATTGTATTTAGTATTTTGAAGCACACATCAATGTTATCCAACACTGAGGGACAATTGTTGCCAAGTGGCCCAATGATTATGAAATAAAATTATTATTAGCAGCGGGTAGCCAAGTTAACTGCCAGATTTGAAGCCGACTTGGAGGAACATGTAAAATTCCACATTGAGAAGAAGGAAGAAGAAACAAGACGCTGTGGCTCAGCTTTTGAACTCTCTTCAGGTGTGAGACGGAGAGTAAATTGGCAGGGATACGCTTCTCGCAGGAGAACAAAGGACAGAGAAGACGAGAACGGGCACACAGGTAAGAGAGTGTCCAAAACAAAGGGAGATCCTGAAGAGAGGTGTGAAAAGCTGAAATCTGTAACTGAATGCTAAGGATTTAAAAATCTATGGAGATGATGCAGTGTGCCACACTAAGCATGACATGTGACTGTATTTTGTCCCCCCCAGTTGGAATGAAAAGCTTCACATCTAAAAGGCTAAATCAAAGCAGAGTTACAGACGAAGCATGGAGAGGTTAATATCATGCTGAATGGTAAAAAGAGAAGATTCCACAGTCGAACCACTGCATTTTGTTTTATGTCTTTTTGTTTGTCAGAGAGGACTCAACCTCTACTTGACCTCTGCAGCTTGCATGCTGAGGGATCTAGTCACTACTTAACCTCTTTAGGATGCAATTATGGCCAAAGAAAACACAAGCTACACACACACACTAGCAAAGCTAGACTCAGAAAAAGTGTACATATTCAGCTAGACTGAAGAATTTATTTTCATCATGAGAGTCAAAATCAACACCGCATTATTGGCAAGACAAAAAAAGATGTGGTTACAAATTGTAAAAAGCACATTATTAATTCATAAGGCAATATGAAAACAAGAAACAGAACATATAAGCACAAGTTGTATCGTCTTTATGACCAAGAAAAGAAATTCCAAAACAATTGGAAGCCTGTTTTCTTTAAATGCCAAAGGAGGGTTATTAAGAAAATTCAAGAGATCTCTTTTAGTAAGTTACCGTTTAAACAGAGAAGCATTCATGCCACCTAGAAATAGCAACCAGCCTGACATAAGAAAACATCAGCACATTTTTGCCATGCTAATCTCGAATTCTCTGCTAACCTCATTCCCCAAGATAGACGGTACTTTAACATTATACAAGGTACAAAACAAATTAAAAATGATTAGTAAAAGAACACTGAACTCGTGATTTCTGACACTTTTTTCACCAGTTGAAGCAACTTTGCAGAGTCATCTTCTGTCCAATCATTGCAAATATTTTGCAAAATATACAACTACATGTCCATTTTTTATAGTAGAAATGCAGTTATTGACAGAAAAGTCAAATCTTTTGTTTTTAAAAATTATTTTAACTTTCAGCTTTAACATGCATCACATTCACATTACAGACTGATTTTCAAACTATAAAAGTTCTTCAAGTCTTTGCTAGTTGCACAGCAAAAAGCATAATTATTTTAAGACTTCAAGATAAGCACTTTTAAGATCATAAACATACAACGTTTTGTCATCTGACTGATTTATGATCTATAGAATATTCATAGTCAAAACATATGAAGCACTTCTGGATCATGTGGTCTAACTTCATCACTGAAACTAAATTCATCAGATAATTTAAAAACTGGCTGAGGTCTAGATCAAGGAACACAATGGACTAAGCAGCCACCCCTCGTTTGCAACTTTTCTTAAGTGGAAGGACATACTAATCCAGCAAGAACAAAATGAAAGGTTAATTAGAGAGGCTGTGCATCTTGCTTGGCCAAATGTTTTTATAGCCTTTTGGTTATAGCCTTTTTAAATGAAAAGTCTGGGGGGATGGCAATACAGAAAAACAGAAGAAAATGGTAGCAAAACGTTATAAAAACATAAAATGTTACAAAGAGGATACAAACAAAGGAGACCAATTGGCCCGTATAGCTGTATAATGGTTGTTAGCAGTCTAATGACACAGAGATCCTGAAAAGAAGCAAGAATATCAGCTTCCACACTGCTGTGGTGGTTGCCCTAGATTCCCCCCAAACTTCCATGTAAAGAAGTTCTCCTAGTTCAAACCGCTTTCAGATCGTTTCCATTGGAGTCCTCTAGTTTATCCTTCTCCGGTGATGCTGAAGAAGTTTAATGGGGGTGACTCTCGCAGCACCACTGGTGCTCGAATTCTTCAATCGGTTACCCCTCATAGACCTCTCTTTTTCACACTTCCATCTTGCCTAGGAGTCCAGGGCATAGCTCAGATCAGCTTGCCCGTCTTTCCTCTTTTCCCAATGCGAAAGGTCCGACTTCAAACCACACAGCCGACACTGGCGAAGCCAGGGGATTTTAAATCGGGCCTTTAAAATAAGAAGGGTGTGCCAGACAGAATTCTGTAAATGCTCTTTTAACCATTTAAACTTGGACCGTTAGAGCGTCTGCGTCGTATTTGCAGAAGGTCCTAATTAGATCAACTTACTAGAAACGTCCCAGGTACACAATTTAACAGGAGAAAGCACCAGTTTTTTTTTTCAAACCATCTTACAAAACTCACGTTACGGTATTCGAGTAAAGCTGCATACGTGCAACAGTTAAAATTAGTTCTCTCTGCATGCCCGAATAACGCACCATGTCAACAGTGTGCTGACAGATTTAGGCTGCATCCTTTTTGATTTATAACGTACTTGCAATACTCTGAAGGCTTAAGAGCATTTAGGCCTGAGTACATTCTTGGGCTTGCCTAAAAGCACCCCAAAACAGTTCTCGCTTCATGAAACGGGACTCGGTTTTGCTTACATTTTACTGACAAAAGCAAAAACGAAAATCGAGCTACAGAAAGCTTACACTAGTTTCATCGGGGACTGGCATGTTAGGCCAACACAAACTCAACTGAAACGAATTCCCTTCTATTTGCGCTCCGAAGTCCGATTTTCACTTTGAATTGTTGTTCGAGGCACTCGCACAGGAAAACGTCGATTACACCGTTAAAATAGAAAGCCATTTCCGACTCACTTATCCAGCCAAAAAGTCCACGGAGAATGCAGAGGGAGCGCTGTGCCGTCCTCGTCGTTGTTCGTGATGTTTTCCAATTCCGTCTCGTCGATGTGGATGTTGTTTTCCGGGTTGTTCGCCGGGCTGTTTTGCGTTTCTGCGTTCATCTGCAGGTCGGGAGCTGCAGGAACCGCCATTTTCGCTTTCTTTGCACTGTGTAAAACCAGTAACTGAGAGTTATTTTCACAGTGAGAGTAATACTTCCACGTCCGGAGGTGCTGCCGCTGACTCACCGCCCGCCTGCCGCGTCACCACCACAACAACGGCGCAGTGACGTCACCCCTCCTCTCACCGTGCGCTCCTGGCTGAGCTCGAGCCACCGGGCTACAGAACGCAGGCTGGGTCGGGGGTCGTCGACATCCTCGCATTGCATCCGTTCGTGAGGAAGCTACAGTACGTTCTCGAGTTACAGAAGACATTTGTAGGGTTTTTTTCCCCACCACAATGATATGCAATAAACGGTGCGCATGGACATCAGTGCAGTTGTACCGCATACCACTAACATCCCTTCCAACATTCCAAAACACATATTGGCAGCATTTCACTCCTTTAAAAGTATTCATATAAAACTCAACGTAAGCTTTCGGTAGAACAATAACAATAAGCGTGAGGCATCATATATACAGCAGAAAGATCACCCATTTTGAAACTCTCTTTGACCGGCTGAATTTAACAAAACTCATGGAGCTGTATTCACAAAATGTTTACCTTTTTAATTAATTACACCCGAGAAGGCTTCACAGCCGAAACGTTGTTTTCTTTCTTCTCTTTTCATCATGGAATAAACCTATTACTTTTTCCTATAATACAATTTAATAAAATGTGTATAGTATATTTTAAATCGCCTGTGTACACATAACTGTATAAAGTTCACATAATCCCCTTTGATTTTCTGTCTTTGAAAAGAAACCCAGATATAGTTATATTTTACTTTACGATAGCTACTGGTAAGTGAGACGAGTGCTTTGTCTTTTTTGAAGAGCTGTGCAGTGACTTTGCCAATCTTGTCACCGATGTGAAGTACAATACAATCAATCACGTATGAGTGACAAGAACTACATTGTATTCTGGAATATTGACATTCAGTTAGACTAATCACTGTGCTCGAAGAGAACTGATTAATCAGAACAAAATGTCTGAATACAAAGCGTGCTATCAGTTTGATTCATGTCAGTGACGTAGTGGTGAGGACAAAGTAAAAATAATTTGGCAGCTCCACATTTGATTACTACACATTTCTCTGGGAAAATTACAGGGAAATTTGGGAATAAATCTTCAATCACATAAAAGGTAAGAATATTATAACAATATTAGTCCATTTGGTAGTTAGTTAAATTGGCCATGTTATGTTTTAAACACAGTTTTACTTTTATTTGCTCCCTGATGCTGTACTGTAACATGCGCTTACTGCAGTATATCACATTTAAAGCACAGTAAAGTCTAGTAAAGCACGATATTAGTTACCATACTAAACTAAGTACTTGACACCAGTCACATCACACGAAAACGTGCCCCAATGCTGAGATTACTTTTTCTACTGTTGCTTAGCTTATTGACTCTGATCCGGAAGACTAATCAGTGTGATCAAACACCTATCGGCACACATGATTAAAGAAATCCCTTCTTTTACATTTTTATTTGTGTAATTTTCTGGCAAGTGGGTAAATGTAAGTGCTGTTTTGTGAATAACTTTTTTAAAATAAAAAGTGCACTTGAAATATTTAATTCAATCTGTATGGAACTGAATATAGGCTTATACCTACCGTAAAGAACACACATTGTACTGTATTATAAAATTGTATACGGTAATTGCTCTATGACGCCACCCAGTGGAAGGAAAATAATCACCTTTTTATATTAATATTAACGTTGTTTACAAAATCTTAGAAAATGATTGCGCTTTATCTTCCTCTTGAAAAATTGAAGTTGAGCTCTTCAAGGCGCCTATCCCTTTAAAAATAACGGTGTTGGACTTTTTGTAAAAAAAAATATATAAACGTGCAACTTGTTCAACGTTTAAATTGTATAAATCATCGAGCGATTTGAGCAAGTGATGAAGACGGTAAAACATGCTAGGAATCATTTATTTCCGTGTTGTGCTCTGCGGCGGTGTGGCATGTATCGTTAGCACTGTATCTTTAAAAGTACAGTTGTATAATCTCGAGGTATTTGGGTGTGGGGCTGAACGAAATAAGCTTTTTTTCCCCCCTCTGCTTTCCTTTTTGAAAGAACAGTTACACTGTAGGCGCCCTATGCGCGGTCCATGGATTGATGATAACGCGCTGTTGTACACGAACAGGAGGAAGGAGGCAGAAGAGAGCGGGATACGAATGATCTCAGTTCTAATTCTGAGCTCCATCATATTCCATCAAAGCCTTCTCTTCTTCGCGCAGCCTCAATCTCCCCCTAAAACCATCCTATAGCGAAGACCCGTCACCGGAAGTTCAGCTATTTGACAGCTTCAAAAATAAATAAATAAACCGTAGTATGCATAGGTTTTTACCGGACTGGAGATGTTCCCATCTTAAGTACTTGAAAAAATTTAAATGCGGTTGATGAATGCGTTGGTTTACAAACTTCCCTTCTTCCGAATTTTATTATTTGCCTCCCAAGGCGAACGAAGGGATCAAAAATAGAGCACCAAGAATGAGAAAAATGCTACAGATCTGTTTTTCTAAATCATTTTTACACAACCGCTTTTGTATGACCACCATAATATGAACGGATATAAACAAAACGAGCTGCTTTATTTTTTAGAACGCAGAAACGCCGAGCAGAAGATTTTTTTTTAATTGGAAGCTCGTCTTACATTGTAATGAAGAAGAATAAAAAGACATGGGTAATTGTGACTTCATCGCGTTGTTTGATGGAAAGAGAAGGGGCCAGTTTCTTTGTCATGTGAAAATGAAGGAATGCGCTGGATTGGAATTTATAACGAATGGGAATGATTTTACTTCGCGTATGCCACATTTGCAGGTGCTCGAGGTACTGAACCCTTAGCAATGACGCACGCATATTTGTGTTTTGTTTTTGTCATCTTTTTATTACTATATTGACGGACTGAAAAAAAACCTCGTGTGTGTTTTTCTGGGATGATAGAGGCTGCGCGGGTGTCAGTTGTTTGGTTGCATAGATGGCGAACGCAACTGAGCTTGGAGAAAGCAACACTTCGCTCCAGAATTATGCCGTTCGGGCTTCTGCAGTGAAGCTGGCATCACTAGGTCTGATCATCTGTATCAGCGTGGCAGGAAATCTTCTACTTTGTTTGCTCATATTGAAAGACAGGAGCTTGCATCGGGCTCCTTACTACTTTCTCTTGGACCTGTGCCTGGCAGATATCATTAGATCTGTTGTGTGTTTTCCCTTTGTGATGATATCCATCAGCAGTGGTTCCAGCTGGACATACAGCGTAATCAGCTGTAAGGTCATCGCGTTTATGGCAGTTCTCTTCTGCTTCCACGCAGCGTTCATGCTCTTCTGCATCAGCGTAACCAGATACATGGCAATTGCACATCACAGATTTTATTCCAAAAGAATGACTCTCTGGACTTGTGTGGCTGTAATCTGCATGGTCTGGACGCTCTCTGTGGCGATGGCGTTCCCCCCGGTGTTTGATGTGGGCACTTACAAATTTATCAAGGAGGAAGAGCAGTGCATTTTCGAACACCGCTACGTCAAAGCGAACGACACGCTAGGTTTTATGCTGATGCTGGCTGTCATCGTGGGAACCACACATGTGGTTTATATCAAAATGCTTTTCTTCGTTTACGACCACCGTAAGATGAAGCCGGCTCAGCTGATCCCTGCAATAAGCCAAAACTGGACCTTTCACGGACCGGGAGCTACCGGACAAGCGGCCGCCAACTGGATAGCGGGGTTTGGAAGAGGTCCTACTCCGCCAACGTTAGTGGGCATCAGACAGGCTGCCCATAATCCAAACAAGAGGCTGCTTGTTCTGGAGGAATTCAAAATGGAAAAAAGAATGGGCAAGATGTTTTACATCATCACCCTTCTGTTTCTTTTGCTCTGGTCCCCTTACATCGTTGCCTGCTACCTTAGGGTGTTCGTAAAAGCAAGCTCCATACCCCAGGTCTATCTGACTGCCGCTGTGTGGATGACATTCGCTCAGGCGGGTGTGAACCCTATTCTGTGCTTTATATTTAACAAGGAATTGAGGATTTGTTTCAGAACCTATTTCCCTTGCTGCCTGAGCACACAGACGCCGATGGAGCCATATTGCGTTATATAAGTTTAATTTTACTACTAATATTAGTTTGAGATTTGTATTTGAACTGAGATGCAAAGTACTGCAGGAATTCTTAATAACCTTTCAGAGATCCCAGAACGAAAGGGCTTTTTTTCTGGCTTGTTTTGTTTGTGCGCATGTGAGCGTGTATTCTTGTTTTGTTCAGTTCAGCTATGCAGACCGATCTCGGATCTCCTGGAGATATTGTTTTAAGGCCATATTTTTGCAATAATTGAATGGCAGATGCACAATAATTGTGAAGAAATCATATTTTTTAAAAAAGATAAGTCTATTTTTTCAGTATTTAACGCGAACAAGGGAAGGATTGCAGTAGGAGGATGTTTGAACTAAGTGTATTCCACTCCAGTTGGAAGAACTACAGTATTCGCTGGATGTAAATGTTGTACAGATAATACGTACTGCTATTATTCTTTCTTCTTTTATTGAACTATTTATTTTGCTAAGATTATCTTAAATTCGTTTCAGTGGACAATGTAACAATAATGAGAACAAAAACTTTGCAAACCTTAGTTTTACTTGTTTTGCTATCTCACATTACAGATTTGTTTGTCGGGAGTGTATTGACTAAATGCTTCCTTCTACATTCCCTGTAAATGTACCATATTTTTTATTGAGGGTTAAGAGAAAATGCTGGCTGGTAAATACTAATGACTAAAAATGCCTCAATGCTGTAGAAAGTTGTATATTTGAAATGTTTTTACTTGAAAATAAACAATGGGTAACAAAGGCCAATGAATTGTTTTCAAATTTAGCAAGGGATAAAAGATAACGTTATTTCAGAGGAAAAATAAGAATTCAGAAAAAAATATAAATGCGGAAATATCTTGACAAGAGCACGCTAGAATCACTATCAGAGTCTAAAAAGTCAGAAATGCTTTTGTTTTCAGAAAATAAAAGATATTGAGGAGGTAACAAAAGATTAGAGATAAAATAGTATACATGTAGAACACAATAGGAATTCTATCATTGTAATTAGATTATAGTCTCCATGTAAAGGGTAGGATTTGAGCAGTTCCCACAGAAATTGCACAGAAATACAGAAATTAAGTCTGTGATGAGTGATGTCCAGGTGGAGACTCGGGTTATTGATCAACAGCAGGTAGAACAGGAGGCTGAAGGCTGGAAACTCTGCTCAGATACTTGACAAATATTCAGCATGACTGCTCCTTGGCAGTTGATCAATAACCTGAATCACTGGGGACATTCTTGCGCCAAGGTGCCAAATACTGCTTTTCAGTCTGAGCAGTTTCATTTAATCTTAAGTAAAAACAATGTATTTTTAAAGACACATTCATGTGACTACCCATTGTATTTGTTTTCGGCTGCAGTTCAAAACAAGGGTAATTTGTTCTACACTCCTACATCCCTCTGGATAAAGAAGTACCTACTGCTCTGGGTTATCTTATTCTGTTTATCCTGTCTCATTCTTGGATCTAATTCCAAGCTACAGTATGTGTGGTTTACCTTACACTTGCTGTGAGGTCAGGAAGTTTTGCAAGATGTTGACTTTTGCTCTGCCAGTAGCTAGGAGAGGTGGCTCATGTTCATTCAGGATTCAGTTTTACCACAAGGTAATTTTCATATGGCCAAAATATTTAATATGACTTCCAAAAATTCAAAGATTTCTTAACTATGATTTCTTAGTATATAGTGATTGAAAATGTGTAGTCTATAATGGACTGACTAAAAATGCTTTTTAAATTGTGCAATTTGTGAATATCCTGTACATTTCTGCTTGATCATTTTTTTCAATTCTCTGTTTGAACTGATCATGGTAATGTAGTTATTAGGTTGTGAAGCTGACTTCAAGGAATGGGTAACCCCCCTAGCATTCCATCCACAGAGGGCATGTTATAATTAATTGAAAAACTGAAATTAAAACTGGAATGTAATACATTAAAGCATAAACACAATTGTGAAGTATCTTCGAAAATTGAAACATTAAAGACATTATTTGTTGTTCCAAGACAGACAGAATGCATTAAAATTCCATTTAAATTGCAAATTGCATGCTTTGTATGGCTCACCTGCACTAGTGAATGGAATGAGCCCATACTTTTTAAAAGGCTTCTACTTTTCTAACTTTTGCTTAAGTCTAACCATTTCAATGCTTAAGAATAACAATAGCAATTTATTAATAACAAGTCTACTCATAACAACATCAATCACCATTTAGAGTCACTAGACTAACATGACTCTGAATGCAATTTGTTACTCTTGTTAGATCTAGTTTGCTAAATTTTATTAGCATTTTGGTTACATCATAATTTTAGGAAAGGTGATGATTTAAAAATGACCTGCTTTTTATAAGACAAAACAGCAAGCTGTAATGAAAGAGTTCTTAAAAACATGGTTCTTATCTTACAGAATCAGTCTAATTATAGCTATGAGTTGTATTAATGCAAATCATGTCTCTGGAAATAAAGCCTGTTCACAATGATTTATCTGCCACCCTGTCCAGTTTCCTATGGGGCCTCTTCCATTTGTATATGGGTCTGTGAGCATTATATCTTAATCAGGGAGGTAAAATTTTTTTAGCAAGCTGCTATAAAGAGATCACAGTCCAGTGGGATGTCTGAAGCACATCGCTGAACATCATCATAGGATGAATAATCTTGGGACTTCACTGTGGTATTTGAAGCCAGTGACTTGTACTTATTTTGAGAAAATAAGTTAACTAGAGCCCGTTGCAGCATTTACGCTGTCAAGGCTATATAGTCTGACCTGATGCAAAACAGTCACAGAAAGGGAACTGGATTTATACTTTCTTCACTTCTTTATAGTCTACATAGAGATATAGCCGGTACTTATATTTTTGGCTTTTCTGAAATTAGATTGAAACTTTCTCTCTGTCACATTTGACAAGACTACATTTGTTAGTTATTGTTAAAGTTATATCTACTAATAAGTTCAAGGCTTTAAGATTTAGTTGACAAGCAGATGGAATTTATTGTAGTGGTAGAAATATGTTTATTCTCCTGGAGGGTGCTAGGCTAAAGTAGCACCACATTTATTTAGGGAACCTTGAGCTCAACGTCTGCTCGAAAAACATGGCTTGTAGATTTTAATATTTGTCTATGTGCTGCATTGGTAGTCTGCATTTGCTGAGTAGGTTGGCACTCCAAAAAAACTCAAATCTGAATTACTGGTAACACAAAAAAAACATAGGATCTGAAATAGTTCTGGAAATCACCACAAATGTATATTGCAAATGTATATTTCATGATTATGTACAAACATGAGCTTCATTCATTATTACAGAAGATGTGCAAAGACTAATGAAAGCATTTGATATGGATATTCACATTTGTTCTGGGGTGCTGTGCTGTTGAAAGAGATTGACATTCTTCATTTTCATGTTCCCATGCAGTTTATCAATTAAAGGATTGTGGAATGGTTTTCAAAATGTCCTGTAGCACTCTCCACAAATCTTCTTGATTTGTTTCCATTTAGCCAATCTTAGATTCCATGTTTCGTCCAATGGCTTCAATAAAGGTCATATCAGGACTTTGAGAAAGCCCTGATATCTTTGTAAGTGCTTTGTCAGTTTATTTACATTCCAAATAGGATTCCACTACACCTGATGTATTTTCGGCATCATTGTCATGAAATACTGCCAAACACGATGCTTTACTGAGGGAGTGGCACATAAGATCAGAATCTGCAGCTATCTGTTGGCGATAAGGGTACCTTCAATTTTATTCTCCAACGCTCTTGCCTGACATATAGCTCCAAACATGTACGGTGTGATCCATGCATCATTATACAGGGCTGTTCTGCACTGACTCTTATACAATCCCTCTCTCCAGTCTGCCTTTGAACAAACTGCCACTGAATATAACCCAGCAGCGCAGATGGGCTCATCTGGGTTTGCAGATCTCATCATCCCACTGTTCCACTTCTGTTGCCCATTTCAGTCTCTTTGTTGTGTTGCCTCATCTCGGCAAAGGTTTCTGAACAGCATCACGTTCGTGAAGAACGTTTTGCACTGACATATCTTATTGTTCATGATGAGACAGTAATACCTGTAGCAAAGCTTTATGCAAAATCTCTAATGGATCATTTTGTATGCCACTGTTTTCTCGGAGGAACTTTATACTACTTTCAGATTGGTCGTTTCTAAGTTTATTTGCAGCATTGGCAATGCTTTTTGTCAGTATTATCATGTTCACTAACCCTCTTCAGGGTCTTGTACTTTCTGCTAGGTGAGATGCGAAGCTGGCCTTTGATCTGTCAGCAGAAGTAATCTTTAGGTAAAATTGATGGTTTCTGTGAACTGTACTTTTTCTTCTCAGGAGCCATTCTGTTCACCACAAGTTCCAGTCTCTAAAAGGTTTATCCTAGTATTTACATAGGGTTTATGTTGGTTTGACACAGATGATTTTTCAAGGAAACAATTATAGTGTGCCACTTTAACATAGCCCTGCATTAGGCAATATAGCATTTTAACCAAAATGATATTATCATGCTTACTTTGCATTATATGGAGGCTTTTTGTCCTCTTTCCATACTTTCCAATACTGTACATTAGATGAATTGAGATGCATATTACTAATATACACTAGAAAGAGTCAGTGTTTTCATACATAATGTGTATATACTATAGTTATATGGTATGCCATTTATACAGTATACACAGTATATGGCACTTGTAATTATATTACATTGAACATACTGTAGGTATAACGCATTATGAGATATATCATAGGATATCAGCATGCTATAACTGCATACTGAAGCAGAGGTCTTTGTGAAAACCAGTCTAATAAAAATGAAAGCCCTTTCTATGCTTTTATATTGAATTTTTGTATTAGCATAAACCAGTCAGGCAAAGCTTATTGCTTTTTGCTTGGGAATTCACATCACTGAGTAATAGGATGCTGAATAAATGAGCTGAGGCATCAAAAACAGCCTTATAATGGCATAAGGGCCATGATTACCTAGAGTTGTACTACATATGGGCATTAACCTTTCATTCAGTAGGAAATTCCACTGTGTTACACTTCTTGTGCCCTAGGGGGCACAATTAAGTTCCTGTCAAGTGATGTTTTTAAAGTGAAATGAACACAGAACGTATTTTAATTAAGGAAACAATTCAACCAAATAACAAAAGGTTGCCACTGTTTTCAACTGAATTTCCACATATACAGATGCAATAAAACTTCAACTATCATGACTAATCCCAATGTTCATCAGGTATATTGTAATATGATGAATATAGAATCAGAATACAGAAACTTTGTAAGACAATTTTAGTGTATTGGCCATCTTATTTGGTTTTATTTTGATGTTGCCCTATAAGCCTATGTAATTATACACATGACTTATGAATCCTAAGCTACATATTGAAAAAATAACAAGACTTTTCATAATGACAGCACTTTAATGTTATGTAGATTTGGTTAAGGTACAATAAATCAGAATGCTACAAATAAATGTATTATAAATGAAAACATTTTTCCAAATGGCTAGTGTTAAGAAAATATACGGTGAAGACAAATCTGCTATCAGGACTATATTGAGTTTTATACACTTATGTTTGTGCTGGCGAAATGGAACCAAAGTGTATTCAACAAACTGAAATTTGTATTTTCAACAATGTTAATTCCAGAGGTGTACCATAATTCACAGTTAACCCCTTTGCAGAGAAAGATGTAAGGCATAGAACAATAGTATACATCTTTAAATAAAAATGCTGCTGTTTTTCTGATACAGAAATGGACACCAGCAATGTACCTAAAAAGGTTCAAAATGTGCAAGAAATGCAGCATTTCCTCCACAAAAATAAATATTCTACTTTACAGTTTGTCCATTTATTACAGATTTACTATGTCATGCATTAACCTGACATATTTTCTCATTTAATACAGGTTTGAATACAGGTAGAAGTTCATATCCTAAAATCTTTTAATCCCACTTAAAGAAGCAAAGTAATTCTGAAACCTGAAGTTTAAAGTGACAATTATTTGACATGATACGGCTTCTTCATTGTTGACATACTCGCGAACGTTAGTTTTTATTTTGAAAAGATAACCCATCTCTAAATAGGCACATATTTGTTTTATTTTAAGGTCATATGAGAAAATTTGAGAGTTATGCTTTATGACACAGGGTTTTAATAATAAATAGGAATGAAGAACTATCTCAGTTAATTGCATACACCATGTTACTGTACAAATGAAGATTCAGATTACGCAGAGCTGTTCAGAAAAACAAGTCTTGGTTTTTAAACTGTGGCAAACACTTGTATTTGCCTTCTGCTGTCCTAATACATGCCAGATTAGGAATACAGGGACAGGTGTGATGTAGCCTCTTGCCAAAGTATGGAACCTTGGAAAAACAGAGAATAATATTAAATTATAAATACCAAGAACAGGATGATGATGATGACATAAGAAATACCAACTAATGTCTAGCTAGGAGCTTATAAGAATCCATGTTTTTGTATATTGATGTATCGCAGATGACGGATGAGACAATGATGCTGGTCTACATTTATCATTGTCTGAGTCATTATGTATAGATTTATAAAAGCAGTATTGGAGATAATTTGAAAAACAGAAATTGATTATTTAAATCTTCCAGATTTCTAAAATATGAACTATTGTGTCATCACCAGAACAAAAATGGAAAATCATTTATCTTTTTTATTATCAGAATTAATTAAATATTAAGAATAACCGAACTTCAACACTCATAACATCTTATTTCAGGGTATTTTTGTTGTTCTTTAGATTCAGGTCATAAAACCTATCTTAAACACAATGCCTAGCCAGACAAAATTTTTATTTCATCACACTATGATATCATTCTAATGCAAATGACAAGTACAACGACACCTGTCCAAATGGAAGGGTGAGGATAAAGCTAAAGATATCACTGAAACTGTGGGTGAATATGTGTTCAAATAGTGTATTGTATGAATGTTACTCTGCCTGTATTCAGATAACAGAGGGGTAATGTACTATCAGATATATGTCCATGGGATGAGGATTATTTGCAGAGACATTGCTTTATGTTCACCCTGAAACTGTCCAGAATATTTATTGTTCCTCAACATTTAAGGAAGAAGTTGATTACTCTGTCTAGTTTGAGAACTCCGGTCCTATCATTTCTTCTGTGCTTCTGTTACCCTTGTGTGGTATGAGGTTAGAAAGCCATGTACTGTACAAGTCATGGAAACATGGTCCCCTGACCTGATGTATGAGTCATTAGAGTCAGTGTCTATATGATCTTAGGGGTTTAAAATGTCATGAGACCACCTGGTAGCTTGTCTGTGCACTCAATAAAAAGAATCCTGGTCAGTATATTGCTGAGAACACTTATAGAAGCAGCACAGTATTGTTTCTTTAGTAGGAAGGTTACGTATGGAATCGTAGATGTGCACAGGGGTGTCCCAACCCATTTGCAGTGTGTTTAACAATTGTACATGTTCTTAAGGCATGTGAAATGCATTAAACACACCATGCTTTAGTTTTTAATTTGGTTTCTCCCTCTTTAGTCTTTGGGCTCCTCACTTCCTTCCTTTGCTGCTCTATCCACATGGGGAACATGGGGTACAAATCAATATAGCTTCCAAAAACCCTGCCTCCAGTGAAGCATAGCTCTGAGGACAAATATGTTTTGTAAAGTACTGATGGAGAATTAAATACCTGACATGGTGCAGAGCGCTTACTTACTTTGTGGCTCAGCGGGTGGCACTCCTCTCCCTCATTGCCCATTGGTGCACACATTCGCAAGTTACGTATCCACAGGCTAACTGCACAGCACATTCCAACACCACACTGAGGATCCTTCTCACAAGCCTGCAGATGTGACAATACAATACATCATAAACAAAACTAAAAAAACAGGACCGGAGGTGTTCTAGGGAGTAAAGTAAGAGACTTGTTACCCAAAGAATGTTAAGATGAACATGTTTCTTGAGCTCTTTGTACTTCATACTTTGAATGACATGCCAAATTGCCAAATGGCACAACTCATTCCCTAGTATACAGTATATAACCTGTAAAGAGGTCACATTAAAAAGTATTTCACAAGACATGCCAAATGTGACACTTCATGATCTTTTTCTTTGTCCTTTCCAGTTCATCATACGTGGACTGCATATTATTAGATTAAAATGTTGATATTTGCATAAGCAAGTTTTTAAATAGTTTTGAAGAGATAGGAGAGAGAATGTTTTGTTTAAAGAAAATTAAAAGGAAAAAGTGTTATATCGCTGAAATAACCTGGAGTGTGAGGCAGTAGAAGGACAGGAGAAT